AAGCCTTAAATATAAGGCCTGACTATGAATACGGGCATTACTTACATAAAACAGAGTTTGTTAAATTATTTTAATAGCTAATATTTATACTTAATGATCATGTATTTATCATTTTCTTTTTTCCTCTTTTAAAAAAACTTTAAGTTTGTATTTAGATTTCTATCATTGTTAGATTCAAAAAGAATATAAAGCTGAAACTGTATCAATAAAATATGTATAGGAAAATGTATATATTTATCAAGACTTGGGGAATATGAATACAGCACTATATATAGATTTTTCTATATATTAAGATATATATATATATAATTAGAAAAGATATTTATAATATATCTTATCATTTTAAACTGTTACTACAAACGTATCATGATGGTTAAAATTCAATAGAACAATTGTCATATCGAGCCATAATTAAACAAGTTTAATTAATGAGGCTATTATTTTTCTGATTTTATTTTAAATGTATTATTATTATTATCATCATCATCGCGCGTGTATTGTTTTTATTTCTGCGTTGCTTTTGCGGATTTACTTAGATAAACAAACATTATACTATGTACTGCATCCACTTAAGATATAAACGTCACGATTTAAGGAAGAAACAAATACGTACCTCAGACAAAGTGCGCTAATCATTATTGTACTCGATGTAAGATGCAAAATGTAAGTATCTTCGGGCATGTGGTGAATCATACGAAAAAACGTCACGAAAATGTCTTGACAAAATTTGACGTTCTGGTTTGGAGATAGCCATCTATGTTTACACACCGGCCGTTGCTAAATGGCAACCAAACGGAGCAGAGTAGCATATGACTGCAGTGGTGCTGCTCCTTCCAACTACATTTGTGCGCAACGCGGCTGTATATTTGTCAATATTTGTGTTTCGGAAGAAACATAAGAGTGTAGGATAGTTGAAATACTTGATTCCTTCTTTTTCTTTATCACGTATTTAACATATTTATAAAAAGTAAAACAAATATGAAATATTGAGCGACGCGACCAAGCGGTAGTGTCATCTGTCGTATTCGCATGTACTACCATTCCCGCGCCGCATAATCACGATTCGATAGTAGCCACTCTGTATATTCATCGCCGCCATCTCCGCGACTTTCGACAACAACGAGCGGAATCAAGCGGAATACAGAGGAATATTTCAGAGCGGCGTGCTTATTTCCGCCGCCTCTCGCCTTCTGTGGATAGAAGTCGAAGATCATCTTGCGAAAAATGGCTTACAACTTCCCCGGAGTACCAGCAACCGCTATGCCACCCATGAGTGAGCGATAACCGATTCCTTTAATCGTTACTCCATTTGCCTTTCTTCAAATCGATTTCGTCCACATCTGTCACCCTGACGCCGTTTGTTTCATTGATGTACAATTTACAGGCATGGGACCGATAGGTCCACTGGGTCCAATAGCAGGACCACAAAGCTTTATGGAACTAGCGGGTCAAGGTTTTCCACCACTACCACCACCGCCCATACCACTACCTGGCATGAACGATTCGCCCCTGGAATTTAGTACGAATAAAAATCAGCCTCCGGTAGTGCGAGAAACATCGGATGATAGCAATGATAGGAGAAGCGACAAAAATGACAATAGAAGGGATCGGGAAAACAGGGATAGCCGTGAAGCCCGAGACAACAATAGAAGGTGATACTCTATTTGTTTGTTTTGTTAAACTATATAGGAAATATGACAAGTTGCATGAATAAAATTACAGTCATACAATTTATCTGCTTAAAATCTAGTTATAGCTTGTGCATTATGTTGCAAAAGGTCAAGAGGAGAACGCAGTGATAGACGCGACAGGGATCGTGACAGGAGGGAGGAAAGAAGCGACCGAGATCGGAGGGATGATCGAAGAACCGAAGAACGAAATAACTCAAATTCTTCAAAAAATAATAACAATCATGCTAATAATTCTAACAACAACAACAACGAAGTTTTGTCGTCGACAAATACAAATAATGCGCCGAGCATAGGCACGCAGATGGAACCTGCCACAGGTGTCTGGGGAATGGGAGTGGGTTATTCCATGATGGGTATGGGTCCCATGGGACCAATGGCACCCATGATGGGCGAGATGACATTGGGTCCACATATGAGTCATACGCACGGTTACAATCCAATGGGCATGGGTATGATGTCGCATGATGGCAGTATGATAGGCGCTCAGATATTGGGCGCTGAACAGATTATGACAGACGCAGCGCAAATAATGACCGCGAGCTTACCACCGCCGCAGATGACGCCTCAGGGTACCAAAGAAATCATACATTGTAAAAGTTGTGTATTATTTCCACCAAATCCGAACGCTCCACCACCTACCACGCGAGAGAGACCACCAGGATGTAGAACAATTTTTGTAGGAGGTAAGCATTGCACATTAACTGATAAATTACTTGAAAATCTTTACATAATCGTACTACCTACACAGGGTTGCCGGAAAACATTACCGAAGCTATAATACAGGAGATATTTGAACGATGTGGAGAGATAACTACTTTGCGTCTTTCTAAAAAGAATTTTTGTCATATACGCTTTGTCTTGGAAGCTAGTGTCGATGCAGCAATTTATTTATCAGGTTATAGAGTAAGAATAGGATCGAGTGGAGAACCTGCGAATACCGGTAGACTTCATGTAGATTTTGCTCAGGTTTGTTACTTGTTGGAAATTGTTTATCTAAAAATATATAATTTTATATTTCAATTCTATTTATATATATATATATATATAAAATCATTAATAATGATTTTAGGCTAGAGATGACCAATATGAATGGGAATGTAGACAACGACAATTACAAAGGGAGCAACGTCATAGAGAAAGAGTGGAAAAGGAGAGACAAAGACCACCGTCGAGTCCACCTCCAGTGGTACACTATACGGATCATGAGGCATCGAATATCTGCGAAAAAATTAAGCAAGATGATACGTTTATGAAAGCAGTACAAGTGAGTAGTCATTTTAATAAACATTCTAATACATACTTCAGCTTCCAGTTTCTAGTTATGTCAAGTAACGTCTCTGTATTTCCATGATCCGAATGTGTTGTAGATTGTTGTAACATGGTTAGAACGAGGAGATTGCATCAAACGTAACGCTAACATCTTCTACTCCATGATACAATCAACGAACTCTCATGTGCGACGGCTCTTGACGGAGAAAGCTGCTTACGAGGAAGAGCTGCAAAAAGCCAAAGAATTAATGAAAGGAAGAATGCAAGGACTCCTCATACAATGTACGTTTATACGCTTTCTTATTTTTCTATCTTTAAGATAGCTCCGTATTATCGTACATATTTCGTGTGCGCTAAGAAAATCCGCATTGGCTTGGTAAGTTCATTCTGGCATAAAGAAGTCCAACAACCAATAGAAGGAAATCCTTATTTGGATATAGCAAACGCAACAAAAATCGTGATTATCTCGTTCATAATCTCAAAGTAACAACAGCGGTATTCATTGCATTCTTCGCACTGTGTGTATGATGAATCCTTATACCACGCATTAAGTTCCGATAAAAAGCAGAGATTTTTCTTAAACCAGTTACGAAGGTATGTTACATCGTTACGTGATAATTAAGAAAAATGATTCATGACATTAAGGTACAACAACCGATTATAATCAGGTACAAAGTCAAATCGAATGTTAAGCTTGTCGATCTCAACGTATGATATTCTGAAAACCGGCTTTTGCATATCAAGTGATACGCTTGATGTAAAACCTACTTTTAATACCTACGACGAAGTACTTCTCTGTCTCGTCACTAATTTTAGCAATCTCTCAAGTGTATCATGGCGAATTCGTCTATGAATTCTGTTTGTGGTCAATGCACAATTGGAGGCAACTCGGTAGGAAGGATCAGAGATAGTAGGCGAGGATAAGGTGGGTGAAAAAATCCTATCTTCTCGGACTTAGGATCCAACAAAACCAACAAACGAAGACGATTTATCGCAAATTCTATCTCATAGAGTCATAGTGTACTTGAAAGTTGCATGTTTGGCAATGCTAAGGAATAAGGGTGATGGGCTGGGCATCCATTGTTGAAAGATTATTTTGAACTGCAGATTGAGACTTTTACACATATATCGTTTTATCAAGTGTTCATGTATATGTAATGTATCATACGAACGTTTAATAACGCGCGAAATCATATTCGTTGTTGTTCAAAATAGTCCTTAACATGGGAAGTCCACGAATTGCAAGTCTTCGGAATTTACATTATCCGCAGTATGGTGGAAAGGCGAACAATGAGAGCGGAATGTTTGGTGAAATCAACTTTTACGTTAGATTAGATACGCTCCAACACTCGGCACAATCTACGTGAGACTCTGTGAGACTCCGTAACTGTACATATGTACGAAAAACACGCTCCGATTATTAAAGAAGGGATCGTTCCCGTTGAGGAATATAATTAAACGTTTAAAATAACGAGTATGCGTAATGAGTACTAAAAGCATAGACGAAACTACCGAGCTTAGAGTTTCAAGCCAAAGGTATACAACGGAGGATTTGTTGTGTTTTTTTGTATGCAACATGCGACCACATGTCATCAACAGTCAGTCAGATCGAACGAGTCTTTACTGCGGCCAGCCACAAGAAAGTCTGGGATCACTTCACTAAGGCGCAGAGGAAGAACATCGAAATGTGGAAGAAACAATCCTCGGTATGTATGTAACGCACTCTCACATGCTAGTAGCGTGTCTTCTGTATACTTCCTTTTTCTCTTGCGTAACTTAAAGTAATCTCAGAATCTTCTCTGTCGCAATATGCTCTTCTGCGCGTTTGCACGATATCTCCAAACACGGTTGTTTTGCAAATTGTATTTTTAAGATATCACAGGTAAGTGACAATTGAGAAAAGAATCGAGTCGCCTGCTATAAAAAAAAAAAGAAATCGGTCAGACACACGCTTCTCTTCGTGCGTTATAATTCGATACTTTATCGTGGAATGCCGTGACAGTATGGCAGATAAATCCTGTCGGCAACATGCACAACATTAAGAACAACATATGGAACAGAAGGTAATACGAGATTAGCACTTTCGGATCGAAAAGCAACTACAGACTATCCAGCATGGATTTGACTTACTTTTTTCGAACAGCGTTCACTCGATATACAATACTTGTTATTTCTGTACTTCAGAGCTGCATCTGCTTCTTACAATAAGGTAAGCCCAAATCATTTTGAAAAGGCGAGCAAAGTCCTGAAACACTTCTGTAATGAAAACTGAGAATCGTATGTGGTACCGCGCTTAAACTCTGAATTACAGAAATGTACGAAACTACATTTTAAAAAATCAGTACTGTACATTAATTTAAAAAAAAAAAAGAAAGAAAAACAATAGAATCAGCCATGTTTAGGGATGTATTTAAATACCATTGTTTGAACGGCAGATAGGAAATTACATACTTTGCATGCATTTGTGTGAAAAAACAATGGTCATGATTTGGAGCACTTTGTAATTTTCGTTATTCGTAATGACAGGAAATAAAAGCGGTACAGCTGGAAGACAGTCTAATTGAAGGCGAAGGTGAGATGGATGTATCGGACTCGGAGGAGGAACCTCAACGTAAGAAAACACGCAATCAATTGGACGGTAATCAAGAGGACGTCGAGAGACTGCAGAGTCTCAAAGAAGAGAACGACAGTCTGAGATGCCAGTTGGAAGCGTACAAGAATGAAGTGTGTATTAATGCAAATCGATTTGATAACACTGGGGGATTTTTCGAAAAGTTTCTAATTACAAATCTTTATAGGTGGATCTTTTGAAATCGGAAACAAAAGCCGAGATGGAGGGAAAGGAGAAGCAAATGAAGATGCTGCAGCAAACGCTGAAAGGTATGCAAGAACAATTGATGCAGTCGCATAAGCAGCAGGTGCAGGATGATCAGAAGATCAAGGACTTGACCGTCAAGCTGAATGCCACAAAGAAGGACGAGCCCAGAGAAAGTGAGATTATCACACTTGACAAGGACGACGATATTAGCGAGGAGCCACGCACACCGAAGCAACACGTTCTCACCTCCAATTTCGTACAAGTCACCCAGAAGGATGCTAAACTTATTGGTAATATAAAAATTTTAGAAACAATTGGAAAATGATTTTAAAACAGTGTCAGTTGTAACTTAGCTAATATATGACATACGTTGCAGGACTTATAGCGACATTTCTGCATATCCATCCGTTTGGTGCAAGCGTGGATTATTTGTGGTCCTATCTGCAGAAAATGGAGCCCGGCATTAAACCAAATGAAGTTGAAGTTTTAATGCAACGTTTTCCACAGGTCTTCAAACAAGAATTGTTCGGCATCGGCGCAAATATGGAGAGACGTTGGCAATTTTCAGGTTTTAATGTTTATCGCAGTCATTGAATCTAGACGATTGAATGTAAAAATAACTGTGAAAGTACATTTGTCTTGTTCCTCTCTTTCTCTTTCGTTATTGTCCGCGAGTGCAATTGAAATCTATCCGTGACAAGCGTATGAAAACGATGAAAAGTCTGACGTCGTTGTGAATTAATAAAATATCTTTACCAATTCTTAATTTTAACGATATAAACAAGTATAATATCTTTTAATTTCAATCCTCCTAAAATCATATCCTGCAATATCTATCCAATTTCTCAGGCAATAAATCAAGTCTGATTTAGTGTCTACTCGACTGTAATTGGTCAGTTTCTTACGACTTAAGGCTTAAAACACCTATTATAGATCCGGGATTACACGCATTCTACAATAAGCCATTAGTCATAAATCAGAAGTTAGAAGCTGGAAATTGACCAATCATAGTCGTCAATTTCCAGCTTCTAACTTCTGATTTATGACTAATGGCTTATTGTAGAATGGCCATTATGGCCATGACACACACATACCTTCCGTAACAGTATCCATAAGACGTACCGTAAGAATCAGCCAATCACAGTAGAGAATTCTTTTGAACTCTTAATTCTAATTGGCTGATTCTTATGGTATGTCTTATGGTTACTGTTACGGAATGTGTGTGCTATTATTGGGCACATTCAGCGAACTTCCCTTCCATCATACAATGGACTAGTTCAAGTACTTGCCGAGCGAATGGACATGATTTAATTGCTCGGTGAGCAGACCTAGCCGCTTTGCCGACTTAAACTCGCCCAACAGTTGAGCACGTTGTTATTGGTGTATTTTTCTAGATCATCCAATAAGACTTTTAAATATAGAAAAATACACCAATAGCAGCGAGCGCTTATTCAACTATTGGGTGCATTCAGTACAACCGTTCACTGAACGCTCAATGAGTCCGCTGAATGCATGATTAAAGTTCAAGACACAATGTGAGGGAATAGCGATAGCGATAGAAATAACATGATTTCAACCCATTAGAAATCGGATATATCGGAATACAGTTTCTGATAGCTCGAAATCGGGTTATTCCTATCGCTATCGCTATTCTCTCGCATTATGTCTTGGGCTTAAATTTCAGTATTGCCAATTGCAAGACTGAAAACATAACCTAATTTTCTAGCGATTGTGAAGAACGATGTGATAATAACAGCACAGGTCCATATTAATGGCAAATCTCTCAAATCCGAACAAACCATACGAGTCGAGCACTCGGCGCCCCGCCAGAAAAAGGATGTTTTCAAGTCTTGCAGTTGGTAATATTTAATCGGCCGATTAGCTTAATCGGAGTTGGTGAGGGTGAGACCGGGCTATATATTCTTACATCATGTTGGATTATTAGACACAGAACGACAGAGCGTGTCTGTAGTATGCTCTCATGGACATGTGGACAGCTACATATAGGTTAGCCACAAAGAAGAGTAGTACTCTGTTCTAGGACGTTTGTGAAGATGCGATTAAATTACTACAAAGTGCTCGGCTGCAGCAAGGACTCCACTCAAGAGGAGATTAAGCATGCTTACCATCGACGCGTATTGCAGTTTCATCCCGATAAAAATGATGCTGTGGACATCCAAGAATTTCACGACGTCAAGGAAGCCTGGCGGGTGCTCGGACATCCACAATGCAGGAAAAAGTATGATGCAGCCTGCAAACAGGAACAGTTAGAGGAAGAAGATAGTCCTGTGTACGCGCATCTCACACCGAACGATCTTGAAGAATCTGCTCTTGAAGACACATTGTTTTATCGCTGCAGGTGCGGCGAACATTACTTCATTGAACGAGAAGCTCTTCGGAAAAAGGACACTATGCTCCAAGTGATGTGCGACGGTTGTACGCTTATTATCATTGTTGAAACGTAGCACATTGTTATTATAGTTCATACAATAAAATACAACCTTTGATGACACCTATAGACTTTTTTGAAAGAAGCTTGTAAAATGTGACTGAACATTATTTATTTGAATGTATTTATGCAAGATGATAAAATAAAATGCGCTTTCTTTGTTCAATTATACAGTAGAAGATAATACTCACAGTATATAGAAAGAGGTCGAAATCGAACATTTATTTTGTACAAAATATGTTTTTTAGCACAAGAACATGTGTACAGTTGTAATAAATTTAAAAAAAAAAACAAAATCTAAAATATCAGCAACATCTTTTTTCTATTTCTTATAAAAAATGATACAACAGGTAACACATTCTTATAATATAAACTATTGAGCAATATACAAATAAACACGACACCTAGTCTAACCTAGGTCCAATAATAAAGATGCATTTGCACAAATTGTATTATTTGATAATGTCGTTCATGTTCATGACATGATTCAGTAGAATCCATATAAAATTCGTCAATGACAAATGATGCAATGTTTCTAAGTCTTCATTATACAATTCGCACTAAATGTAAAGATCTGGCTAATACAAATATTCTCTCTTTAACAAGTCTATTCAATATTGATGAACGTTTTAAACATTTTAATCAACAAAAACAAAGATTTAAAAAAGTACGTCTTGTTCTGTAAGCTTGTACTAGTTCACTGTTTTGTAAATCTGTATTGCACGCGAATAAGTGCGCTATATCTGTATATTGCACCATGACGAAGTGAAATATGCGACATTGAAAAAAGTAACTTTTCAATTGCAAAGAGAATTATTCAACGAATTTTTTGTTTGAATCGTTTTACTTTAATTGCCGAAAAACGTTCTCTTTCAATAAACGTCAATCAATGAAAAGATTAGCTTGTAAACATTTATAAAAATATTTGTTTTTAACCAGATCGATATTTATAGGAAAATAAAGTCTAAATTACATGATCAGGAAATATCGAAGCTGACAGCTTGACTAAATTAATGTTGCAATACATAACAAACGTTTGAAATTTCTCGTAAAAAGATCTGTATGATCTCTCCGAAAGACGTGAATTGTCGTCGACAGTTTTCTTGTTTGCTCCAGGAGGTATGAGATTCTTCGATTAATGTCATTTTGCCTCGCAGTTTCAGTACATCTCAGTCGCCTCGATTTCGTCTGCCACCGTTGACAAATGCTCCTAAATGCCCACATAATAAACCTGTTACACTTACAATGAATCTCGTTAGGGATGTTCGCTACTTTTGCATCGTCGATGATTCTACTGAATCGTTATAACAGCGAAAATCCAAAAGTACACTGATAAGCTCCTCGTTTTCTCTCCCCCCCCCTCTCCCCTCCCGATAAGTTCACGAGTCTTATAAATCTTACGTTTGTACACCACAACAATGTGCGAGCGCTCCGGCAAAACGACATAATTATAATTTTCTCAACGGGCACTTTAATCCATCTGAAGATACTTCTCTCATTGCCTTCAGTTTTCAGTTTTTTTCCTTCCCTCCCAACCCCCCAACCCCCGCAAAAACTTTGCCCAATTTTACGGCGCGTACACAGTCTTATCACAATCACACCATATAATATATAAATCATTGTACAGCGTGGATTAGTTTTTAGACTACTTAATTGAAAATATGTACAGAAGTCGTACAAAGGGGGCAATTAGATCCAAGTTGTGGAGCTCACTATTTTACCTCAACGTCGAAATCGAGGACAAGCAGTTTTGTCTCCTCGGTACCATTACGACTACCTACTGCACACACTAGTTTTGTATCACTCGCTCGAATCCTCCACACAACACCGCCGCTACCACCACTTTCGAGAGCAACTAGATTCCTAATGAAATCACCTGTGGACACAACACATATTGTTCTTAAACGATCGATGCACATTCTAATCGGAGAAATAAACGATGATAAAAAAATATACAAACCAGTTTTAACATCCCAGAGTTTTACTGTACCATCGTCAGAGGACGTAATCACAAAATGGCTATTGAACTGAAGGCAAGTAACCGCCGATTGATGTTTATTCGGACCGGAGAGAGTTTGAAGGCAGTGACCGCTAACAATGTCCCATACTTTAACAGTAGAATCAGCATTGCCTGACACTAAGATATTATTGCGCAACTCCATTCCCGAGGTAAGAGATTGATGGCCCATCAGAGTATGTCTACAAGCACCTGTTTCTACCTCCCACACTCTTATACTTGTGTCCAATGATCCGCTAACAACGTGCACACCGTCGAACTAACAGGAAGGAAACGGCAAACGGACGTTTGTCAATGCCGAAAGAGATCAGAAGCAAACATCTAAGAGTAACACAATGATGAACTTACCTGGAGGGAATAAACGCGATTAGTATGTCCTTGTAAGGTATGAAGGCACTCCTCACGTTCCGGATTCCAAACTTTGACCATATAGTCGTAGGCACCACTGACCACCAACTTTCCGTCATATTGCACACATCTAACCGCCGCTAGATGCCCCACGAGCACATGTAAGCACTCCCCCCTGTCCACCTGCCACACTCTTAGTGTCGCGTCTCTACTACCACTGACGACCTTGTTACCATGCAGATGCATACACCTAACCGTTGATGTATGACCGTACAATGTATGAATACACTGGCCAGTCTCCGCGTTCCACACTTTTAAAGTACGATCTGTACTACCACTAATAACAATCGTACCGGACATCTGCGAAGACCACACGCCTCCGGTATGCCCAACCAATGTCCGTAAGCACTGAAATATTGTGAAAAACACAGGATATACATAATCTCCTCTTTTGTTGCTAATTAAATCTTGTATCATTATGCATTTGCAATTTACCTTGCCTGTGACGGCAGACCATACTTTGAGTGTATTGTCATCTGAACCACTGACTATCCGATTGCCAGAGAATTGAAGGCATGTAATAACATGGTCGTCATGACCTTTCAACACTTTCGGTGTACGAATCGGCTTCGTCCTCCAATTCATTTTAATATTGTGCTGTCGCATGTAAGCTTGCTTCCATGGCGACGAATGGCTGCTGCTTCGACAGTTCTTTCGTTTCGGCGGTGGTAGATCTTTTAAATCCTCTATACCAGCTGCCTTGCACTTCTCTTTCCAGAGTAGATTGTCGTCAGCTAGGAATCGCCAGTTTCGGCAGGTTTGGGCAGCTCTCAGGAGATCCTTCGGCTCCAGAAATGCCAATACCGATAACGCCAACTCTTTTGGCAGCAGCGATATAAAATCTCGTTGAAACTGCGGCTCTATCACCTGCATCATGTGACGCACCTGCGTGGGCTCGCATCTCTCTATTAGTTCATCTATTGCTAACATCCTTTCCGCGTTTGACCATCTCTGCAATAAGTATTATTTTCACTTACTTTTTAAGAAGGCCTGAATATAATTAATCACATTATTTTCTCTAGCTCTATCGACATAATTTTTTGTTACTGTTACAATATTTACTAAAAATATTAATATTATTTATATATAAATACTTGAAATTGCAGAAGCCAACTGCTCATTTCTGGAGGTGGATTGTCCTTGGTAGGAATGACACATCTCACGTGTTTACCTTTATCATCTACCTTTCTTGCAGTCCTAAGGCAGAAGAAAATTATTGAAATGTAAAAATATATACCTATAATTATATATTATATTTAAGTAATAAGAAATACAATACTCACATTGTATGAGATTTTTCTTCTGGATTAAGTTTTTTACAAGGTAGGCAACACTCTGTTTCACTTTTTCGCTTTCTCTGAGGCTGAACAGCATCCGATGGCACACAATTATGCGATACTGGACTCTGAACTTGTTCAGAAAGAACCACTTGAGACTGTGATATAGGTGATTGGCAATTGTTGCTCTCAACTTCTGCTGTACATTCGGTATCGCAGAACAATCCACTATCGCTAATCTAAACGACAAAGTTAATTAGAAAGACAGTTCACTTTGTAACTATAAATTTAATAAAGAAGTTATTTTTGTCTTATTTATAACAAAAGTAAAACTTAAAGGAAAGATTGCCAGCTTGCTCTATAAAAACAATATACAAACAAAACTGGTGCTGACTTACTTCGCTTTCTCCTTCGCTACTTTCTTCATCACCCTCCTCCTCATCATCTCCATAATCCTCGGATTCCTCATCTTGTGGCAACACTGAATGCATAGGATCCAAGGAACTCGGTCCTGGAACTCCCTCGATTCCCTCAATTGGACTAGGACTAGCACCGCCTAGCTTATTATTGTCAGATATATTGTTGGAGGATGGAGGAGGGACAGACATTACTATATGTAGTGTTGGGTTTATAGGTATAGTAACTGTACCTAAACACAAAGGTCAGCCGTTAGCATAATTGGAATATAAATCGATATGCGATATCTTTTACTTCATTTGTTACTTTGCACACAAATAGATGATAATTTCGATAGTAATGTGAGAATATTTTTACATGATGTAAGAATATTCTTATATCATGATTTTAACATGCGATTCTAATAGAAAACACAGCCTGTCGCTATCTCATTCTATCGCGAGAGATCGGAATTTCGAGCTAGTCGAAAATAGGTTAAAACAAAAAAGGAAAAGAAGATGTAACTCGTGGATGAAAATCCGACGAATGACTAATTATCACCATTGCGGCGAGGATTCAATCTAACCTTGAATCCTTCGCACCGTAAACACGCGGCTACGATTTATAACTCAACATATTGTAAAATATTGCTATCGGACGAAGATACACTGACAACGACGAGCCGGTAGCCACACCCCATGTATCCTCGTAAACGACGCGACGCGGATTCGCGACAAGCTGCGTGCGACAAAAGGGACTACGAGAAGCTGCGTAAAACAGGGGAGGGGTCTATACTTGGGACGAGCGCCGTTCTCGGTCGTCAGCCTTTCTTGGTCGATCGACGACGACGGTCCCCCGATGTGATGGGGGTTGCTAGGGGTCCGGTGCGTGTCGGTGATGTTGGTGACGACGTGATGCCTCTATCAAAGGAGCATGGCATTCATCTCTCTCGCGTGCGGTGGAGACGATCTTAGGTTAGAAACACGGGTGATACGCGGCGATGCAAAGGGGAAGAGAGGGTGGCGTAAACCTAGAGCAGCGCGGACGTCGAAAGGAAGGCGAGTGACGGACGTAAACACGACGAGCGGGGCGAATCCATTGGGCGGCCTCCTGGCGGCTCTAACCAGCTTTTTACCTCCGCACCTCCCGACAGTCCCGACTCCTACGTTCGCACCGTTCGCACACGTTCGCAGTGTCCGCAGTGTTCGCAGTGTTCGCACAGCAGGTACATATGCACATATACGCGACATCAGGGCGCGCGTGCATGTAAACAGTAAGCTTCCTGTCGCACTGTGTCGTAAGTCGCACTCGCAAGTATCGCAAGTCATGTGAATCGGAATTATAGGTTGTAGGTCAAAATAGGTCTGTTCGCTTTGCTTGAAATTTCCAAAAATTTTTGCACTTAAAATAAGACAAGTATATATATATATATATATATATATATATATATATGAGACGTTAAAAAGAGAGATAGCGAAGATTTTAAGTGCCAAAAGTGCAAGCAACGCGATGATTACGTTTTCGTGATTACGTTTGAGTCGTTCGACACTTTTTGGAAAGAGTATTCGTTATATCTAACAAACTTTATTCATATCTATGATTGTAAAGTTGAATTTAAGGTAGGATAACAATCATTCAAAATATTTTGATATTTTCACTATAATTTATAAATTATTTTCGTGATTATACGTTATTCAATCGTTATTGCTGTTACATTGTGTATGGATTATAAAATATTGAAAGCAAAAACATCCATAGCATTACAATAATTTGATTTTTTATTTTATTCACAGAGCAAAATGTCGGATGACACAAAGATCTTATTGAAGGAAGCCCGTGAATCTTTCAAGCAAAATGAATATCTGGAAGTTGTGAAGAAATGCAGAAAGGTTTTAAAAAAAGACAAAAACAATTATGCGGCATTACTACTCCTAGCCCGTTCCATGCAAGAGGTGGAGGAATTTAAATCACAGGTATCCTTAGTCCTTCACAAGGCCGTAGAGGTGCAACCCAATAATCCATTAGCCTGGCAAGGTTTAGCGGCACATTATGAAAAAGCTCCACAGGACCATGATAATTGGGAAAAGTTAGCTTTAGCTTATTGCAAATTGTTGCAGTTAGATAGGTAGGATATCATTACAATTTTTAAAACATCTTGGGCTATATGTAAAGATTAGATAAAAGGATAAACATCTATGTTTTAGCGAATCTCCTAAGTTCACACATTTTGTGAATAAAATTTCGGAGATTATCTTGCGTATCAAGAATGATGACATATTCTCTGAAGCATTGAGCACATTGAGTGTGTTACGAGAAATTTCTACCAAAGAGAAGATAAATCTGATTGATAAGACCCTAGTGTGGATTTTATCAGAGTATCCTAATAATAGAATAAACAAGTATCAGGAACTTTATGAAAATGTGTTAGAATCTGTAATAAAAGACACAGATCTAGTGAATAGACAAGAGTGTTACAGAAAATATTTAAAGATACTACATGATTCAAATAAACTTACAAAGTTGCTAACAGCTGCTCAAGACATGCATATTCAATTTCCACAGGATACTTATCCTTTAGGTAAATTATTTTTTAACTCTTATCAAAATTTATATTTTTATACGCTCGTACAATATAATTGCTTTCTTTGCACAGAATGGTTATGCCGTATTTATTATGAGACGGAGGCGTTGTGTGAAATTAAACTTGGAATTGATATAACTCAGTTTTATGAATTACTTTTAAAGATAAATCCAAATTCCGAGGCTGCATTTATTGCAAAGGCAGTATATTTGAAAAGAACAGACGAGTTAATTGACTCACGCAATTGTTTGAAGCAAGTAGTCTCATTAAATGCACAATCATTTTATGCTTGGTTAATGTTGAGCCAAATATATTTCAAACTATACTGCTGGGAAGAAACCGAGAATGCATCTAGACAAGCACTTTGGTTAATAAAATCCACTTTAAAGGACAAATTTCAACATGGAATCAAATTGAGATTACTTGAAGCAATAAGTAGAAGTAGTAACAAACAAAAATTGATAGAAGCACGTCAGATGTGTGAAGAAGTGAGTATTTAATACGAATATTATAAATCTCTCGATATTTATTGATACATAATAAATTTGTATTTAGTTGTTAAGTGTTGAGCCTTCCATACAATTACAAGTGATTCATGCACGCACAAATATATTATTGGATGAACCTGATGCTACTGCTATATTAAGTAACTTGGAGTCTCAGAATGAAACTAAACTTCAAGCTTTTATTCTTAAAGCGTTGCATTTACAAAAACACAAACAATACGAAGATGCTATTAATGCTCTCGAGTTAGCTTTAGAAAATTCTGAAGCTTGGTTGCTGTTCGGTAAAATATATTGGGATATAGGAGATTATAACCACAGTCTGATGGCATTTTTAAACGGCGTCCAAGCAGATCGCAATAATTGGGAATGTATGGTTTACTTAGGACATTATTATCGCGAACATGGTAACGACATAGAACGTTCAAGAAGATGTTACCACGCCGCATTACAAATCAATCCGAATTCCGAGGAAGCTGGTATCGGACTAAGCACAGCTTATCGTCTTCTCAAGAATATTGTGAGCATCATATAAACATATTTTTCTATTTAAAACACAAATTTATATGTGACAATTATTCTGATCAAAATCCTAATATTATATATTGTTTAGGATGCCAATATACAATTATTACAAAGGGTAACTATACAAGGTACTGGGCCAAGATGGGCTTGGCTCCAACTGGGTTTGCATTACTTGGATCAAGGTGACGCTGGACAAGCTATCACAGCATTACAACATGTGATCAGAGCTGATCCTAATGACAAGTATAACATAGCTCGCTATTATTTTATTGTGTTACAGAATGTTATGATATTTCTTATCACAAGTGTGTACTTTGTACAGTCATAGTTGGGAATCTTTGGCAGATGCGTATTTGGTACGCGGCGCTCATGCATCGGCACTAAAGTCGTATCAACGCGCATTACAGCTGAGCCCAGAATCCTTATATCCTATGATACAACTCGCGAATATCAAACTAGTAAGTAAAATTCATAAAAATATATCATAATATAATTGATATAAAATTTTTTCTGTAGCTCATTGGTCAACATAAAGAAGCCAAGGAAGATTTCGAGAGTATATTACAGAACGATAAACAGCATATTCTTGCATTAAAAGGTCTAGCACAGGCATGTTTAGGTTTAGCAAGACAAAATATTGAAAAACAATTTCTATGTCGAGCAAGGGAAAATCTACAACAAGCAGCAGACAATCTGATAGACGCTATTATGATACGCAGTGATCTGCTTTGCAATTGGAAATTGCTTGGCGACGTGTGTTATAGAATAATCGCTCTACCGGAAAAGTATTGCTATTTAAAAATTAAATCTGTTTTAATGAAGTGTGACAATACTGAAAAATATGTGAATATTAAAGGAGACGAGATATTGATGTTATCAATAAGGTAAAAAGAAATTATTCTTAAATTGTTTCATAATATGACTATTAGAAAATGAAATCAATTAAAATCAATATCATTTAAACTGTTAAACGCAATTATTAATGTACAAAAGTTTGCACGATATATTAAATTTTTACGAATATTATCGTAAGACTGCATTAGTATTTTGTACCATTTTACGTTTCAAAATTTAACTTCATCAATAAACTGTTTTATTTTCAGATGTTTTTGTCGGGCATTATCCATGCAAAATTCTGCATTGTTATGGCATGATTTAACGTGCTGTTATTTGATGCAACTAAATCGCGCTTCTACAGTCAATAAGAATGATGTGGCGGCTAAGTGCTATGCGACTGCAAAACATGCTGTTAAACTCTGCCCGCAATCGTGGCTACATTGGAATATTCTTGGTGTTATTTGTATGTCAGTATATGTAAAAAATTATGCCCTAGCTCAACATTGTTTCATCATGGCGATCGATAGAGAATCGAACAATGCAATAGCTTGGAGCAATCTGGGAGCATTATATTTGCATCTAGGTACCTATAAAGATAACTACTTTTTAAATTTGTATTAGAATTATATGCATTTTATGACAATCTTTTGATATATCTAGGAGATATCTACAAAGCAAATGAAGCGTTTTCTCGATCACAACGTGCGGATCCTAGTTACGTGAATAGTTGGGTCGGACAGGGATTAATTGCGGAGAAAACCCTGAGGAAGGAAGCGATGGATCTATTCCGCCATTCGACACAATTGGGTTATCACAATCAAGCAGCTTTAGGCTATGCTCATTGGGTACTTACTACTCTTCTGAATCCCGCAATGAAGGAAGATCCACTGTTAGTTTACGTTATCGAAAACATGCATGCGATACCTGCAGCAGCCGACATTCTTACTTGGTACACAGGTTAGCAAATAACGTTATCAGTTTAACGTGATACTCTCTTTGTACTTTAAGGTAAATTTTGGCCTTTTTTCAGAACGCGAGCCATATGATGTTTATGCTTTAAATACACATGGTTTATTATTGGAACGACTAAAATTGTACAATACAGCGGCTAAACAATTTTCCACAGCTTTAAAATTGAGTGAAGATGAAGAAAGGGATATGATAACCATAAACTTAGCACGCATCCTGATTCAAATCGGAAAATACGAAAAAGCGGTAGCATTATGCAAACAAGTGAAATGTGCAAATTTCAATTCTCAGTGCCATCTAGCGTTATCGTTGTTCAAAGGTATGGAAATCTTAATTTTTATCTTTATCTTATGAAAATATAAGTTCTCGAAACGGATTATTCATTTTATGTTCAACTTTCTATAAGACTGAAGTATCAACTTTGATGAAAATAAAAATGTCATATATATTTAGCCAAGCAGTATGAAGATTCGTACAATACATACGAAGCAGCTTTACATTGGCTAGCAGACACTGGTGTGGATAAAGCTAATGTTTTGTGTGCGATGGCTGCGATTGCTTACATATTCCAAGGGGCAGATGCTGTTAAGACTTTACTATTCCAATGTATACAAATAGAACCGCCTACTGTAACTGGTCTCTTAGCGACTGCTGCATTAGGAATTTTGCATGACGACGTCAATTTGACTTCTTTGGTATTGAACGAATTGAAATCATACGAAAATCACCACAAATACGGTTATCACGTTGTCACATTGTCAGCATACTATCAAGTTATTCAGGGAAATCTCATCCAAGCTATTCGAATACTTACCAAAGCTATTTTCAAATACCCTAGTAAGTAATTCATGTTATCATGTATTATCAAATGACGAACTTGCAAGTTTATCCTTTACAATGAATATTATAGACGACGTTAGATATTGGATGCGTCTTGTTCGAGTTTTACTGTTGGACAAAAATTTTGATGTCTTTCATAAATATGCTCTAACAGCATTGACGCTAAGCAGAAATACGACCAATGCTGATATTGTACATGTTGCTTGCGCATCAGCGTACAGTCACTTTGGCACAAAAGAGGGTATCAGACAAGCTCAGAAAAATATATTTACATATCCTAATAACGTTGAGAGCTGGGCTAATCTCGTTGCAGCTCTTTTACCCAGGTTGGTATGATATATTAATCTTGTCCTTTTTTTCAACTGCTGAATTGTCATATGTATAATTATTTTATTTATAGAAGTATAGATAAGGACTGTACTCCAATTAATAGTCAGTGGATGCTGTCACTAATATCAATAATTAAATCGCAATTTCACGCTTCCGAAAATATGTCACAATGGTTACTTCACAATGAGAAAGAACTAAGTCATTTCCAAGTCAACAAAGCCTCGGAGTTTAAATAAATTATTTTATGATTTATTGTAAAAAAAACAATGTATTTTTTCTATCTTATAAAAAACTGTATAATAAATCTAAATTAACTGGAGTAGTTCATCTTTTATTGAATTTTATTGTGTAAAATAGGTATCAATTTATAGAAAGTTGCATTGGTTGAGGGTGTTAATTATTATTTAATAAAAACAAATATAATTTCGTCCATTACTAATTGAAACAAATCATATTTATTTATTCATTGGTTTTATTTTAAATTTATCTCGGATAAATTAATTAGCGGGTTATACGAGATACGTTCTACAACTTAAGTATGGAAATGCTTCCATAAACACATACTTACAAAAGATCCCGCAATGCCGGTCTATTATTATTATGCACAAACGATTGTGACCGCTGTGAAAAATTAGATTGCGGCTGTGAAAAATTAAATTGTGTGTTATTAAATCTCCTTCTGTTAAATCTCGTTTTATCGATTACTATTTCCGCGCAGATATGCTCTTCCAAAGTCTGTAAAAATATGATTCATTTAATCATATTTTGATTCTAATAGATTTGATGGTACTTAATTGTTAAGCTAATTTTACGTGCACATAAAAATTTTTTACGAAAATGTAAGAAATAAAATATAAAATACATTTCCAGCATATAATTAGCATGATAAATTGGTAATCAATGATTAGTAGAGGAACGGATTGTCTGGGTACCAACTTACTTTTGGTGAGATGTACTCATCCTTTTTCAATAAAGCAATCAACTTGTAAAGTTCGAAGTTCTCAGGGATATTCTCCTGTGCCATAGTCTCTTCCAATTTTTCAATCTGTAGATATAATAAAAATAAACCGTGTGTATATGTTACATAAACATAATAATTGCTAAACAAGGACTGTATAAACAGGATACATACCACATCTATGAAATAACTTTCTTTTTGTGCATTGGGTCTATCATGTTCTAATGATGCTCTAAACATAGGCACTATCTCAGTAAACCTCTTCAAATCTGTGTAGGCTAAAATTTTCAGACATCTTATCTGAATATATCGAGCCTCTCTTAAAGAACTTAAAATTTCTATAGCTATGTGGGACGAATTCTGCTTAATGGCTAAAGCTGCTAAAAACGTAGTAGCTCTACGCATAATCATGTATCCTTTGTCATCTAATTCTTTCCAGATTTTCAAGCCATACTGTAATGTCTCCGGTGTATTCTGAAAGTGTTAAAACTAATTATGTAAAGAACGAATTTGCAAAAATTTAATCACTCTTGCACAAGTTACCTCCTTATAACAGCCAGCCATAACTAATATCAAAGAATTCCTAGGATATCCGTCTGCCATGTCTTTGTCCTTAATCATGTCATACACATCTCTCATTTCTGTGTACTTTCCATGCTTATATAATAGGGATAAAAGAATTTGGTAACTGACGAATTGATCAAAGAAATTCTCAAACTTAGGATCTTTGAAAGCAGTGTATGCGAGGTCTGGTTCATTCAAGTAATACAGGGTACGCATCACTACGGGACCAAACATAAAAGTACCAAATCTCATCTCCTTGGTTTGCTTATTAAATTTTGTCAACATTTTGATAAGTAACTCAATGTCTTCGGGTTTTTTCTGAGCTAAATGCAACATAGACTTTAGATCTTCTGTGAAGATCATACTCGAGTCTGTATTACATACTTCTTCCATTTTGCTGCGGAATGTATTTTCCACATTTAAAAACTGATTGCGGAAGTTCAATCGTGCATTTTCATAGCCTTGCATACCCAGGCTCTTGTCTGAATATAAGAATCTGCAAGCTGCAAAGTGAATATAACATCAATAGCTGTGTGAATATAACATCAAAGCATCATATTAAATATGTAAAAAATTTATGAAAAATATTTTAATTACGCGCTCGTTTTGTTAAATACTATTTCATATAATACGTTCGAATATATTTTCTGAGATATGTATTAACTGAAAGTTGAAACTGCATATAACTAATTTTGTACTAAACGTACATAATGTACGTGAAACGTGGGTCATACTAAAGTCGCCGCGAGAAAGATTAATGTAAGGTTAAGTCGAATTACGTACAATTGAGGAAGCTATTCCTCAGAAAAGCATGGTTCACCAGTCCCACATTGAATCTCATAAGATATCTCATCGTCGCTGCCATTATCTCTGTATGCAAACGTCTTCAATTCTTCTTTCTAAATTTATATTTTAGTCTTTTGAACGATGATCATTGATAGGCACACGCTCAACGATACACGAAATGAAGGGAAGAAGAACGCCTATAGACCGGAAGCCGGGTAGTCAGTAGTCGATAAATCTCAACATGTAACTTCCGGTTCGATTACATTCTTCTTTCCTATTCGCAAACACAATGAACTGTAGATGACACTTAAATCACTGGCTGCGTTCAGCAGAACGTTTGTTTTGCAACTGTTGTAAGTTTCCTTCGCGCTAATTGGATCATACTTTTAGATCTAAAAGAATGGTCCTATCTCAGCAGACAATCATAAAACGGTTGCAAAACTGTTGAGTCTGCTGAACGCAGCCATTTTCTGGCTAGTTTTTGGCTAGAGACTCTCTAAACAGAAGGTCTGTTCGCGTTGCTTGCACTTTTGGCACTCGACATCTTCGCTTTCTCTCTTTTCAAGGCCAAATATATATCTATCTCATTTTAAGTGCAAAAATATTTGGGGATTTCATGCAACGCGAACAGACCTAGAGTTGCAACATCAGACAGCCAGTTTTGATTGGTCCGCCATTTTTCAGCAATTCCCGCCTATATTCGAATGTCTATATTGTAGGAATGGGCGATGTGCGTATCGATACGCTAAAATTCGTTCGCCAATTAACCTATTTTGTGAAAAATCAATTTTTCCTTTACCTTTACCTTAAAGAATCATTTCTTTTTTTAACAAGGTTAAAAAAGGTCTACTTCGAATCGATATAATCGATTTTTAGTGTTCCGATACGAATATCGCCCATTCAAAGTATATACATTTGTACTATTGTTAAAATTAAACAAAACAAGATTAAATATTTTAAAGTTATTACCAGATTATAGATTTCTCACATTATATGTGGAAGTAATGCTTACTAAAAAAAAATGTTTTATTTTTTTTATAAAAGTTATGTATTTTGATCAGAGGTATGCATTTTTCGTTGGTGTTCAATTTTTTCCAACATTTGTTGCCCATAATGTTCGACGTTTAGCATCACGCGGAAATATTTTCATTATGTAGCCTTTCGCTGCAGAATTAGTACAAAATGGGGCTGCACACCCAACCATTTTGCAATTATTTTTATTAATCTTCTAAAGCTGGAATCAGATTAGGCATTGAAGATTGAGATTGAAGACTGAAAGATTGAAATTTGACCAATCAAAACAATAGGAGCTAAAATTCCTTTGCTCTCATTGGTCAAATTTTAATCTTCAATCTTCAATCTCAATATTCAATGCGTAGTCTGATTCCCGCCTAATAAGTCGTACCAATCTTCAAAAGCAGAAAGATGTATCACAACTCACGAGAAACTATCAAGGTTAGAAAAAGACACAACGTATTCCTCTCTCTTTCGTGTGATTTTGCTGAAATTAGAGATCTTTAAGAGAAAGAGACCGTGAAGAGAGTCTCTAACTAGAGTCTCTTTTTCTCATGTCGCGACTCTGATTAGAGGGTCTCTATTTCTGGCTAACGTCACGTTTTTATTGGCTAATTAAAAACGAAGAGCACGATTATGGATGTGATTGGTCGGTTGTAGGAACAATATGACGCAATAAGGCTTCTTGTCCATTTCCATTTTGTTGCCAGTTAACTGCTGAAGTAGAGATGAAGCGCCATGATGTTGCGAAAGTTTGTTTGGTATTCTCATTAGCATTATAATTTGTTAATATCAATTATTATATTAATTTTTAATATATTATACTTTAAGGACATTTTTCTCTGTTCCAGAAAATCATGAATTGTTGTAATAATATTTTAACGTTGCAAAAATAATTGAAAATTTCAATTGTGGTTTAACAATTCGAAAGATCAACTTATAGGAGGCAACATTGCAGAATCATGTCGAATTATGCGAGTAAAAACTTTAATATATAATAAAAATTTGTATGTTCTTATGTTCTTATGATAATAATAAACGTTTCTTTTCCAGAATTATGCACGCCACTTCCCAAAAGTAAGACTAGTCATATCAAGATCTGTGAAAATACTCAGCAGTATGTCATCGACTTTTTGCAAAACTTGTTGCCACCGTCCGACCAAAAATCTATTTCAGATGAGTTACGAAAGGTACATAATATATAATACGTTATATGTTGTAATATAATAAAGTGTTCATCAATTGGTGATACAATTGGAAAGATGATTCTACATAGAAAAATAAATAGAAAATGTAGAATATAATTTTTTTACATTTTAGATTTTGTTTTCGAAAAAATAGATTTTATATATAGTGAATATTTAAAATAGATTTTCTCAAAAACGAAGCCTCATATGAAAAAAGTTTTATTCTTTATTTTCAACTTATTTTTTTATATAGAATCATTTCTTTTCTGATTGTACCATCAGTTCATGGACCCTGTATAATATATAATAACAAATGAGAGTCATTATGGAAATATAATTACTGACTTGACCAAGTCTGACTGATTGATCAAGGTCTTATTTTTTGAAAATTTTTAGACCTATATATTTAACAAGATTAGACCAAAGCACAAGCAGAAAGTGGAGAAAGGCAAATGCTTCTCTGCCAGGAAGAGACTACACCTTGGTTTAGGTAGAATCGGTAATAGAAATCAGATGAAATACTCTGATGTTTTGCCTTTAAATCAATTATGGCTACAGTATATGCGAGAGATGCTCGGTGTCGAGTCGTTTGTTGATATATCAGAGAATCCTCGAAATTGGGAGAATGTAAATCTGCAACTGATGAAAGCTGATTTTCATGGTGCTAAAATCTCAATTGATAGATCCAAATGCCCTAGTCTGGTAGGAGTTACGGGAATCGTCATACAAGACACAAAGAATACTTTTAGGGTCTGTGGAATGGACAATATTATTCGAAGTAAGCAATAAACGTACATTTGTCGATTTTTTCCCTACATAAGTATGTCATATCTGTCCCAAAGTGCATGCACTTGTTGCCGCTTTTATCATTATATGCAGGAGTACAATAAATTCCTTGGAAATTATGGGATATTTGACAATACAAGTGAGAGAAAATTTGAGAGCGATTCTGGATGATAAAATAAGGAAATCGAAAATAAAATTACAATCAAAGCTTCGTTTGTAATTATAAATTTTTAAATATTCACAAACACTAGGCATTTTTTTATGAATATGTAAATATTCAGAATTACAAAAAGAATAAAATTCGGTCATGATTTTGTTAATTATAAATGTTTAAATATTTACGTAAAAAATACTTTACACTTATAATTAAAAGACAAAGCCTTTTGTTACTCTCGATTTCTGATTTCTTTTGTCATTTAGAAGCCTGCCCTTAAATTTTCTCCCATCTGTTGTCAAAAATATATATATATATATATATTCTTTATTGCTAATGATTTTTATTAAACTGTTTACAGCGATACCAAAAGATGTAGTTAAGATTGACGTTCACTTGGATGATGGAGTAACACTAAAAGCATTTGGAAGAGAGCTTTCTATAAGGCCTGCAGAACGAGCAGTTAAGAAATTTAAGAATAGTTCAATCATAATGCTGTGATAAATATTTAATATAATATATTAATAATTTGATGGGGTACTTTCTACAAAGATACACAAATTAGTGTTAAATTTTGATTAAAAAATTACGTTGTGAAGGAAAATAAAAAAATGTGACAAAATAAATCAGTATACGGATAATATAGTTGTACGTAATTATACAATATGGTATACCTTTTGTTGAAATTACTTTAATTTCATCTAGATGTTAGAATTATTTTATTTCTTCATATCTTTCAGCATTTCTTTGTAGATTATTATCATAGGATATTACAATTACAGGATTGGTAATGTATATTTACTACTTACATGGTACAGTATTTATATATAGTCGTATATATAATATAGCATTATATTTATATATAATGTATACGCGTGTAAATCTCTTTGTGTCTCGTGTGTTTATATGGAAAGGTGTGCATAACTATTGAACAATAACATATTTTTTCTTTTGGAAGTGTGTTCACCCATGTTCCATTAAAATCGCAATGGTCAAACATGACACTGATACAATGATAATTATTTTCAATTAATACAACTATATTTGTTTAATCAATCTCTACAATTTCATTTGGCTAAGGTTTAGATAAAAATAAAACGTAGTATCAGGGCATGTTACTGACCTCCTCCTTCGACATTCGACATAACAGTTTTAATATATAATATATACAGCTAGATCACTGCAAGATCAACTGTGGAGTACAAAAAAAACCAAAATGTCGCGCGATAGAGAAGACGAGGAAAACGATGAGCGCGTTCATTTTTTTATTATTACACAATATAATTTTTTTTTTACTTGGGCATAGTATTAACGTGACCGGTATAAACTTTCGCTCTCCGTGCATTTTAAAATAAAAAGACTACATATTATAACCTGTTGAGATATGAGAAAAAGAAACGAGATATAGATCACTAAGTGATACAAATTTACGCAGATTGTTAGTTCACACTCACTTAGGAATGTTAACGGTAAGACATATTACAAAATTAATTTGTTTTTTCTCAGTAGCCTGTTGCACCTTATACATATTGATCTTGATGCATCAACATAACGTTTTATATATACGACGTAAAGATTTCAAAAGAAAAAGAGAAACACAAATATTCAACAAAACATAGCTTTGTTATTTTTTAGAAACATTTTGATCTAATTTATCTTAAAACTGCATAATTTAGGCATGGTTTGTAACAAGTTACATAATATGATTATAACGATGAATAACTTTGAATAAGATTATTATGCACACACATTATATGTAAAACCATAGATGTAATGCCTATTACGCCTATGTGTGAAACGAGTAGAAAATACTACCAAAACTACAATATATACGAAACAATGTGTGACAGTGAACGATCATGCTGGACTTTGTTATCAAATTATCTTTAATTCTTTAAACAATTCAAGAAATTAAAGATAAGATTTGACATGTCTGTAATTAATCTTTTTATGCAATGAACACTGAAAGATTAAAAACACGATTAATGTAGATTGGACAAAAAAATTCGGGCGGACTACTCCATGCACTGTTGTACATTAGTGAGACAATAAGGTCTTGCCGTTCAATTTCGGTACCTATAATTTATTTTATGATTCGTTTTGTTTACGCAAATCAAGCTAACTTGTGGCGAACACGTGTCTTCGTATTATGTTCAAGCAAATGTACATACAGGTAGATCTAGGACGATGTATATGTTAATATAGGTACGCCAAACATATTTTGAGGTGTCTACAAGTTTTTCTCAATCTTGATCTCGTCGTTACAATACTGATATAACGATACGCGATCTACTCCGATCTAAAAGATATTCTTATTACATTGCAATTTTGCGAGGGATCCTTACTTTCCACCGATTCATCACACGCTAGAAGGTTTTGAGAATGTACATCCAGTACAATGCCAACGTTTTTTCAAAGATAAAGAAAGACGAGATGACTTTCAAAAAAGCATGTTTACATAAGTGGTGAGAGAAATTGAAAGAAATTTCGCCGAAAAGCAAGCGCTGGGTAATCTGTACAGAAATTACAATGTAATTGTTGATCTACAGTTGATTTTGCTTTCGAATTATCATATTGCCCAAAAAAGCTTGCTTCCTGTTAGTAGCCAAAAGAAAGGCACGTAGACGCACACACATATGTGCCGGTAAAAGACAGGGAAATTATACTTTGTTCACACAACATACATATATCTTCTTCATTGACTGTGCAACGATAATTCAATGGAAAAATTTCGGTAAATCGCATTTAAAAAAAAAGAGAAAAAAAACATCTTTTTTTTCCGTTACAATCACTTCCGAATAATTTTTTAAATTTTTTCATGCAAAATTCGCGTTGAACAGCTATTTAAACCATGAAATATAATTTGCTCAACATCTTCCCTATAAATTACACATTCACATTTAGGTAGCGTGTGATAGCGTATTAATGCCTTTTCTTAATGCATTTCGCTATTCGATACACTATTATCATGATCTAAACGTGGTAATTCATCGTTTTTTTTCTAATGATATTCATTCGTATTCGCTTTGACGATATTAAGCTAACAAAACAATCTCATTCTACCTAAACTTTATAGAAAAGTAGACTTTGTTGATCTGTCTCCTTAAATGTATTTCACATACCGTAACCTTGGTAGGCTGCGGTGGACGCGTACACTTGTGCGGGTGTACCATATACGTTTTGAGGCGCGTAGCCAGGTGCCATCATTCCTGGCCCTGCGGTCAGCATTAGCTGAGGTTCCGCTATAACCGAAAGAAATATTATCTTTAACGTAGAAAACAGTTCACCGGCTTCGCACATTTATGGGACGTATACTCGCGAAAATATATTAAAGGATCACTCACGCATGATCATAGGCTTGTGTTCCTGATGATCAGTTTCTTCGATGCGTCGGCTTTCGGCCTCTTCTAATTTATCGACCTATGAAACATATTTATCATTGTAAATACTGCCAGTGGTACAAAGAATTAGACAGAGACTTCTTTTACGAATATCTTATATATACCTTAGTGATATATTCTCGCGCGACTTGTATAAGATACGGCATTGCGAAATGTAAAATGCGATGTCTCCATGCGAGTTCCAAGATGACGTCCGGATGAAGTAAATCGTAACAATGAAATAAGCATGCTGCAAAACAGTCCTTAGAACCCCTTTCTAAGAACCACTCAAGTAATTCTTCGGCGACCTCTGCATTCCGGGATTCCGCCGCGTACTCCATGGCGTCTCTATTATCAAATTGGCATATATTAATAAAATTCCCATATACGTATATATCATAAATGTATCTCTGATTTAACACTAGAATCACCAATGATATCCCGCTAGAACTACTGTAAGTACCCATTTGGTAATTTCCTATCCTTATTTTTGGTTAGTAAAGTTATTTTGACATCTATTACTTGTATCGTTAGAATTGTATTATATTCACATATTTTCAATATTCCGTACTACATATCACAAATACAAAAAAAGAAAAAAATTTTAATGATTGCGAAGCCAAAATGGCACTATTGACGATTCTAGTGTTAAAGTAATATGCAGCATTGTTAAACATTACCTAAATAATCGATCCTTCTTGCAAAGCTCCACGGACTGCTTCCATCTATTATTTCCCTTGTACAAGTATGCGGCGATTCTCCTGAACTCTATCAATTCATGTTTCTCGAGTTGCATCGCTAACGCGATATTATCAAAATTATCGAATGCATCAATTGATGTTCGGAGACCTTGGTAATCTTCTTCGTCGATTAACAAGCCGTTCAAGGCTTCGTTGATAGCTTTGTTGTTGAGGGCCTGAACTGATCTTAAGTATGGCTTCACCAATTGCAGATGGCCGGTTCGCGTGAAATACGCCACTGATCTAGTATGATCCATGCGCGGAGCAAGCACGAGCAATATATCGTTCAGAAGAAGGGGTTTATATTCCACATAAAAGTGTATAGCCTTATAGTAGAGCTCGACGTTTGCGACTTTGGTGATTACGTCTTTGAAATGACCCTCTCGCCAAGCCTCGGTAGGATGTTGCATCATCGCTAGGACCGCATTATCATATTCCTCGTACTTGTCATACAGAAACACTAACTCGGCCCACAAATGCGCTTGTTCCGCTGCGCGCAGCACCTACAATAATTCAATCATTTTCAGTTTATTTCTAACAATGTAGATTAACTTTAATCTCGGTTTAACTTTTTACCTTCATTAGTTCTAAGAATTAAAAAAGATAAAGAGTAAATTAAATCAAAATTAAAGTCAATCCACATTGATAGAAATGCACATAAATAGTTAATGAAACTGCTATTGATTTTCATATTGATCTGAGATGAAAACCCACTTTCGGTATATTGACACGCGACCAGAAGAGTTCCAAATGTTCCCTCATTCGTTGAGGCTTGTATTTACTATAAAGAATAGCTAGTTCGGTAAACATTCCCATGTGAGCCCGTTCAAGTCCTAGAGCAGCTTCCAAAAGATTAATAAGTTCTTCGAAATGCCCGCGATCTTGGTAATAATTAATCAAGTCCTCAAGCTCGTCTGCATGTACGACTATGTGCAGACCGCACATTTGTGCCAAGCGAAATTCGCCGCTATCCACACAGGCAAAACAAACTTCCTTCCAGGTGCGCGTTGAGTTGGCTTTGCGTGCGCTATCGACGGCACCTTGAAACTCTTTCAGATGGACCAACGTTATAGCTAAACGCGCAAAGTTCGATACATTGTTGTAGAGCAGTTTCGCGGCGTCATACATCTTATCGTCGAAACATCTGTCGCCGATCTGCAAAAAGAGTAAAAATATATTCGTAAGGAATCGAATTATACTTACAAATGCGAATAAGATAGAGCAGAGTCATAATGATAGCATAAGACGTCATCATAAATTCATTTGTCGTTTAATGAACTAAGAAGTAACATATAAAATCTTGGTGATGTCCTTATATTATTTTGGCTTTTGTGTTTTACTTTGGGAATGACTCTTTACCTTTTGTATATCGGCGTGATTAGGGCCAGATATAAATTCTTCGAGATCTGCGAGTCTGTTGGTCCGTGCATACGCGTATATTAATTCGCTCTCAATGAAGGATTCGCGTGCTTTCTTGCGAGCCATTTGGAGATAACGGACTAAATCTTCCCAATGCGAAGTCCGATGCGCCGTTTCTACCACGTCCATGTACGCGGACGGATCGTCTGCTTTAATAAAGCTATCGATCGATTCTTTAACCAGACCTTGCTGCAGTTGGGCCCTGGCAAGCTGTGACCACACCGGTGGCTCGTTGCATCTACACATGAAACGGTTTAATTAAGTAAATTGTATTAAAAAAATACGCGATGCACACTCCAGGCAAAGAGTTTGGAAACGCTTAAAAAAAAAACATTTTTTTAGAAAAAAATTTCTTCATTACTTTCAATAACAAAAATTTTCACTTTTCATATTTCCGCCTTAGGGAAAATTATATGATTGCTACCGCGAAGAATTATTGTTGAAAGAAACACATTGTCATGGACATTTGAATAAGTAATCTCCAAAATGTCAACAACACTTTAAAAAGTGTTTCCAAACTTTTGGCTTAGAATATATCATACCTTTCTGCAAATTCGTAAGCCCTGTCCAAGTTGCCAACTTGTTCAATTAGAACCTGGATAGCCGACGTATTGACGTCAAACTTTTTGAAGATTGCAAAAGCTTCCTCGTAAAGTTCATTGTTAATAGCAATGTTAGCGATATCCGGGGCGTCATAATTGTCTAAGCGGTTAATATATTCCATGACGCGTGTACGGTCAGCTTTGATGGCTGTTAATATCAAGAGATTCTGCAAATTACGATGATCGCTGAATACGCTGCTGTCCAGTACTATCTTCTCGAGAAGTTCGATCAGTTCGTTAGGCAAGTCGGCCGTCATGAAAGCCTTGACAGTAACCGATATATCTTCGGGATCTTGCGTCTCAGATAATGCCGTCTGAACAACCTGATCGATCAACGGTCGCTTGTACGGATTGCTCTCCAACAGCACTTCCGCCCAAAGATCAGGATCTCTACGTCTCACCAGATATCTGGCCTCACTCTTGAACAGGCTGTTCTCGTTGCACACGCTTATTAGCTCACGGTCGCATTGGCCACGCTCGTATGCAATGCAAGCCAAATGAGGATCGCGCTTTTCACAATATTTGCCAACAACTCTGCTGTCATAGAATTGATTCTCCTTAAGAAATCTTTCGGGATTGTTGTTGCTGTCAATGTAGATCTTGGCCAGCGCATTGTGCGTAGCTGGTTCCACACAGCCCTCGTGAACGCGGGATTCCAGCCACGGCAGCAACAATTTCAGTCGATTTCTCTTTTCTACCTCCTCAACTAGTTCATCGGTGGAGAATTGTCCGCGCACCACCAGTATCAGATTCTTAATGATATCTTCCGAACAGTCGACGTCCAGTAGACCACCCACGACGACCGGTAGTCGCGATGGATTTACCTTTTGGACATATATCTCAATGTATTTCTGTAAGTTGTTGCGATAAAGATAGAGAACAAGATCGTGAACGAAGTCAAATCGGTCGCACACGATTATTAAAGGCAATTGATCGGACAGCTTTGCTTCTTTTAGGAAATTCTTTACGCGTTCCGGGTTGTAACAGTTGCTCTCTCGACATATGCGCTCCACCTCTTTTATCTGGCCAGTCTTGCACGCCGCCTGGATATATTTGAAGTGCACTTCCTGATCCTGGCTAAAATTCACGATAGACCCCAAGAAGTAGAACAGGCCTTCGTAAGACTTAAAACTCTCGAATAGATCTATCAACGCTTTAGTCGTCAACTGCTCGTGATATTTGGTCGCAATCTGTATGCAGATCTGCAAGTTCTGCCGTATGTTGGCCGTTAACATGGCCTTCAGACACTCGAGGGAATCTTCAACGGACAGAGTACCGAAGAAACCTACGAGCCAGTCGGGCGAGAGCAGATGCGTATGTACCACCGCTCTTTTAATATCATACAAATCCGTGTAGTGCTCGAGAGCGCGTTGCAACAAGCCGGCCTTCTCGCACAATTGCGCGACGTGAGCTCTGTCGTAATGGGTAAACATTTGATTACCCAATATAGCGTCAGCCACTTGCGGGGCGGACATTAAATTCATTTCTAAGAGACGGGTCTGTAAGGCACCCTCGCTCGGCCGATTGTTCTTGAGCGCATCCAGCAGGAACGCCGTACATTGCTGCACCATATTCTGCTCCATAAATATATCGACAATCTGATTGATGTCGGCCAATGGTTCGTCGTCCTGAACCAGCATCTGTGCAAATGCCACACCCTGATCGGGATTAATCCTCATGACATTCCGCAGGAGGAATATATAGTCGGGCGTATACGAGACTTTCTTGGCGTACAATACGATCTTCTGAAATTGGCCGGTCTCCGCAAAGCATTGAATTACCTTGTTGGGGACGTTAGCTCTCAAATAAACGCTAAGCGCTAATGTGGGATCCGCCTGTTTCACTAGATCTCCCAACTCTTCGCTGCATTCCAGTTTGTCTTCTTTCAACCATTTCTCCAGCAGTTGTTTACGTCCTTGAACTAATACCGGTCGGCACAACTCCAACGACTCGTATTTATTTAGTTGTCCCTGATCCAGAAGAATGCCGAAATACTGTAAGAGAGGAGACGTTTGACCCTGAGTAGCAGGGACCTGTTGAAATCGCTGGATAGTCGCCGGTGTTCTGAGTATTCCTTTGGGAGCATTTGCCGCGACTTTCGCTGCCTCCGCGTACTGACCATTTTGGAAGAGCATATTGAATTTCCTTACGAACAAGTCCTCCGCGCCCGACAGATTGTTTCTCACGGCCATTCTCAACGCCAATTCCGAATTCTGTAGCACTCCATTGATGTACGGGATTATGTTCTCTTCGTCCACGGAGACGGACAAGACTTGACCCTTTCGATTCACTCCTATTATACCGCCAGACGCTTCGTGTGGTGCGGTAACGAAGATCGTCTCCCCAGAGATACGATTCATAAATATACAGGTCGCGGACTCAATATCGTACATGTGTATATAACCGTATTTCGTGATTAAATATATGACGTCGTATTTGGAGCTAACTTGCATCGCGACGGGAAAATCGTTTCCTGCCTCAGGTGGGAAAAATACATCTACAGCTTTCTTGGGAAACGGATGGTTACCAGAGGGCGGTTGGCCCACCTCGATGATGTGAAGCTTTGCGCCCTGGACCGTTCTAACAGCAAAACAGAATAGATTGCTTGGCTCTCCGTTTCCTTCCATCTTAAACTGAGCAAAGGAGGCGGCGTGTCCCTCGATCGGTTGTGAACATTTACGTTCCACAGAGTAAAGCTGCATGGCGCCGACCACTCGGTTATGCTGTGCCGAAATACCGATCAACAACAGCCACGTCTGCTTCGGATCTGTTCGGTAATTTATAATTTGGCAGCCGTTTAATGACGAATGACGTTCGAACATCTTATTCGGCGTCGAGTCACCCTCCATGGACCAGTGGTACACTGCAGTCTCCGTTACTAATGCCAACGTGTTCAGCGATATCCATTTCCAAAAGACTACATCTTCCGTCATTGTATGAGCTTTCATCTTTGATTTCATCTCAATGTTGAAGATCTGAAGCGTCTTCATAGCTAAAAAAAAATATTTGTCTTAGTAATCTCCCCCTTCTCTTTCAATATTTCTACTATTATAAAATCATTATCTTGTATCGAGGCTCGCTTTAGGAAAATGCGTACAATAAATTACAACAAAACACATAGATAATACAGTATAACACAGTGAATCATTACATTCTTATTGTTTGCCACTGTTAAATAAAGATGAAACAATTACTGTTACACTGTATCTTTTGTTGAAAAGCATCACGTGTTACGTTGCATCATTTGTAGGTCTGTTCGCGTTGCTTGCACTTTTTGTATTCAGTCTTGCTTTTACTCTCTTCGACATCCGAATATATATTTATCTCGTTACAAGTCCAAAAATGTTTGGGGATTTCGAGCAACACGTTACTTATTCTCTCTTGTCGGAAAGCAGCCAATATCGCTTTCCAGATTAAGAATAAAGTAGAATCAAAATTTTCAATGTTTATTTTCTACAGCTGAATACACCTTTTCCTGAAATCGAGCACTCGCATGTGCATGTATGCATACCTTTGAGAGCGATGACTTTACTAGCAGGATTCATGATTGCAGAATCAGCGGATATTGGTCTTCTGATAGGATTGGCTGAATCATTCATATCAATGATTACTACCTGGGCAGTATCACCAACCTTCTCTCTAACGCAAATGAATTTGTCAGACTCCATAGTGAGGGTGTTAAAGCTGACATTACTAGCATTAATTCCTACAGCCGTAAGCTGCAAAAATAAGAAACATAGATAGCCTTGTATCCTTCAAACTTATGTTTTTGATCGAGGATAAAATTCAATTATATCTCGCTGGTTTTATGTTTTCTGAGAGCAAAGAGGTTTATTATCGAGTCAACTTTATTGACAATATATTTCTGACAATCCAAAAGCGACCAATACATACACATATACTCTCCAACGACTGAGCTTAATACTGATTATAGACACTGAGCTTAATACCGATTATAGACACTACTGCCTGTAATCAGGAAAAATAAGGCAAGACATTAATGAAATAAATTTTAAAACAAACTGACATTCCAACCGTTGGAAGTTTGTGCTGATTGGATTATACTTTTAGATCTAAAGGAATAGTCCTATGGCAGCAAAAAAAACTCAACAGTTGCAAAATAAACATTCTGCTGAACACAGTAAATATGTAACGTTAATGTAACAGCCATATGTTGCTAAAATAAAGCATGCTCGAATTGCTGTGTGTGCGCGCTCGCGCGCGTATGTACGTGTGTCTCAAGCAAATAGCTTGGTTCCCATCATCCTACCATCATCCTCACGTCTACGTGGAACATGTGGGAAGGAGTGACAACATTTTCCGTGATACTCGACGATGACGCATCGGGACAATGAGAGGATTGTATGCCGATAAGGTGTGCAACAGTTTCGGGTAAAAGCGGAAACGAGGGGCGTATGCGCTGGACGATAGCGTCTCGGTGGGGAAAAGAAAAGGAGGCGAGACATCTCGGGATCTCACGCAATGTGTTCGTTCGACCCGCGGTATCGCGTTCAATTCCATGCGGATAACCTGGTCACGAAATCGGTCGTGAGGAGAGCGCGAGGCAAGTCGGCAGAATCGGGTGTGTAACGTCATCGGGTCTCATCGCGCTCGGCTGATGGGGAAGGAGGGAAGGGGGAGAGAGAGACGTTGCAACTGTCAGAGTAACGTCAGTCCCGAAATATTGCACTTCCGTTTCAGAGAGACGGGAGCAAGTGTAATCCGTCGATACATCGACGGATGGACGCACGCGAAAGAGAGAAAGACAAGGAGGAGGGGGAGAGATAAATCTAAATGAGAGAGGACGAGATGCGGGGGCAGAGAAAATGTCCGGTGTTCCGAGAGAAAGGCCGACGTGGTAAATGCCGATGATGGGACGCGCGGGGTTCACGGGGGAAGGGGCAAACGTACCTGCAGGTGTTCCTGGAACCTTATGGGTAATAGCTGCGTCATTTTCGCCGAGGTGTCTGAGGAATCCGTCGTGGCGAGGTTCTCGGTCACTGTTCCCGCCGTGGTGCGGATTTACTTAGATCTCCTCCGTGCGCGGATGGAGATCTCGCAATTCCAAAATCCAATTCTCCTTACTTACGAATTTCGTTCCCCCGGGTGTCGTCGTGTGCGCCTCTCTCTGTCTATCTCTGTCCCGTCGCGGGACGCTCAACATCAATTCGTTGAAGCGCGTAAAAACCGACTGAGCGGAGAGCGAGCGTAAACGTCGCTACTCGCCGCTGACACCCATCATGGCCGCCAACGCCGCCCCTCTAACTCGAAATAGTTCCCGCGTATGAAGGATTCCCCGTAGAAAGATTCACCGCGCGCGAGAGAGATCCGGAGAGGTCGACGATCACGATCGCTAAATAATAACAATGAGCGTCGGAAAATTTTCTCGTGTCCGAGCGGTCAGCACCGACGATCACGATGACGTTAGCGGAGAGGAGAGTGTCTTGGAGTGTCTCGAGTACGGCGCGAGCGCCCCGACACCAGCGGAAGAATACAAGCGACGATTTGACACGATTGGACTCGGTGGGACGGTGGCGGATCTCGCGCATCACCCCCTCCTCTTACCCCACCTGCCGCTGTCGCAGCCAAGTGAAACCGCAGCGGCGCACGAGTGCGTAACGTATTTCCACGCAGTCGATTAAGAGTCTCTCTCTCCTTCCCACTCTACCGTTCTCCGCGTTCCCTCTCTAATTAAAACACTTTTTCTCTTATAAAATATATATCCTGAAGGTTATCGCCGAGGTTTTGCTTCGCTCGCGACGTCTCGCGATACGTTGAATGCAGTTAGTTCTAAAAAGAATTTTTATCCGGATTTTTACATAATTTTTTTAATTTTTTAAAATTATTTAAATTAATCAAATCCAATTTAAATGAGTTCTAAACTTTTTGTATAAAATTCATTTTATAGAATCAAACGCGACTAAAGGTGGGGATGTAAAGAGATTGGTACTGAGTTCGGTTAAAAGTACGCTTTATTCTCCAACAGAAGTATCAGCTATCGATTCTTAACGCCTATGAAAGTTAAACTGGAAATCGCTCATACCACTGCCACAGAAATGCTGCGTGTTTCATTCTCCGGTGACAAAATAAAAAAAAAAAGAAGCATCTTTAGTCAAACAAGCCAAAGCCCATATCGTCGTCCTCTGATTCAGATTCTTCTTTAGCTGGCTTCTTTTCTTCTGTTAAAAAGAAATATTATTTATTATTTTCATATACATTTAGTATCATTATAAACGTCTTAAATAAAAGTCTATTCTTTTTAGTTGAATGTTTTGCATAATTCTTTTTCCCCTTTTTTTTCACGTTGAAGAGAAAAGATGAAATGTACAAAAAATTTAACTAAAAAGAATGGATCTTAGAATCAGGCTTTCAAAGTTAAGTGGTAAACTTACCTTTCTTCTCTTCAGCTGGAGCTGCAGCGCCACCAGCAGGGGCTGCAGGAGCACCAGCGGGGACTGCTCCACCAACAGGCATGGACGATAGTTTCTCTCTGCCTAGAATTGCGAAACGATAAAATTCAATTTGGATTACGTATAGTTCTGAACGAAAACAATCGACTCGATGGGTCTCAGAAGTTCGATCCCTAAATTTATTCAAAGTATGCTTTGGTTTTGTAATAGGTTAATTAGAAAATCAAAAGTTAGGTAAAGTAATTATGAGACAAATGGTTTCAAAAACTCATATTATTCATTTTACAAGTTTCTATTTGATTTGATTCATGGAAATATGATATGCAATAAGTCTATTCTTTTTAGATGAACTTGCATTTATCTTTTTTCTTTTCTCTAGCAGAGAAAAAAAAGAGGATGAATCATACGAGAAGTTTAAAGTTAAAAGAACAGACCAAATAAATATTTCTAATATCCATTTTTTATCAATGCAGATTAAGTTTAATCTTGATGAACACAGGATAGAAGAGAATTAATTTACTTCAGCTTATATCAAGAAGGAATTTAGTTTAGAAATATTATAAATAACCAATACACATTCATCCTACTTTTAAGTTATGCTTCTGTACAAACTACTCAAGGTGCAGCTACAATAGAAGGAATAAGGAATAAAGATTTCAACCTATCAGAAACCGTGTATTCGATATCTGATAGGTTGAAATCTTTATTCCTTATTCCTTCTATTGTGGCTGCATCTTTACCCTGGCTATTGCTTTATTCTAAGCCTATCGCTGTCACAAAAAAGATCTGTATATTCTCTCCGAGCTTACTTATTCTACACACTACAATTTTGTTTCTCATGTACTTTTGATTCTACGTGCTTATTTAACTTTAATCTTATTGTAATTTATTCTTTATCTCTTTTCAATTTGTAGAATTAGAAAGAAATTAAAAAACAGTTAAACCAAGATTAAAGTTAATCTGATAGAAACAAACATAAACGTTTTAAAGAATATATCGACATACCTTTGGCAATCAATTCGTCCATTGATTTACCGTTCAATTCATTAATGACCTTTTTCAGTTTCTCAGCATCAGTTTCAATTCCCACTGACGACAGAATTTTTTCAATGTCATTCTGGCTTGGCGAGGCCTTGCCTCCCAAAACTGCCAGCATGTAAGCGGCCACGTAACGCATTCTACAAAATAGTATATTAAAATATAAATGTAAAGTATTTGTACAATGTGATTATTCTAAGGGTTAATCGTGCTCAGTAAAAGGAAATGTATCATCACAATCATTCAGTCGAAAGATGGTGATCAAATTATCATCATGAAGTAAGGAGCTTCTATAAATATACGTGAGATACGTTTGGCTTATACATATAAGAACCATAAACATCATTCGCGTGATCGGAGTGTGATAAATGATGTATCTGTATCATAAATATTGATATATTTGTACCAAACCATAACCTATTGCATATTGGCGCGCGCGAACTCCACTTCTATTTTCCATCAAGTGCCTCATATTACTTTCGGAATCACTTTACACTATGTTGGCGCTTAGCAAATTTAACTGTAACTCGAACAAAAGTGGGAAGCGATATTAGTTATAATAACGTCTTGGATATTTGCGCTTTCGCGTAAACGTGACGCGGAACGTGGTGACATGGAAAATGGAAAGTATCCACCGATGTGACAAATTGTGAAGTGCAATCGAATGAAGACGTTAATTAGTTCGTTCTGTCGATGTTCAGATAATCCGAAATGTAGAATATTATTCTTTATAAAGATAAAATTCAAGTTTAAACATACCTTTAAGTCTTACGACACGAAAACGTGAATTCCGCCAAAGCAATATTAAAACGTGCACGAAATTTGCACCGGAAGAGCTCAGAAAAGAACTGAAAGAAATAAATCTGATGAAAGGGTGATAGATGGGAGATTTCGTCTTACTGTCGCGCCCTCTCGAATGCATTTGGATGAATTTAGCCAATATGTCGGTTAATTATGGAATTTCAAAAATATTCAGACATTCCTTGCTTTCCAGCAAGGACACAGTCAGAGGCCGGAATCAGACTACGCATTGAAGATTGAGATCGAAGATTGAAGATTGAAATTTGACTAAGGCCGGAATCAGACTATGCATTAAAGATTGAAATTGAAGATTGAAAAATTCAAATTTGACCAATCGAAATAAAAGGAGCTAAAATTTCTTTGTCCTTATTGGTCAAATTTCAATCTTCAATCTTCAACCTCAATCTTCAATGCGTAGTCTGATTCCGGC